TTGTTAGACCAATGAAGACATTATTACATAAATATATGTAGCTCAGCAAGTGTGAGTTACATATATTTATTGCCCATATTTATATGTAATGTCTACAACACCTTTATGAGACAGGTACTATTATTAGCACCATTTGATAGATGAGAAAACTGCAGCCTTAAGAAATTGAATAACTTGTATCACTAGAAAATTTGTTGAATTCAATGGAATTAAGCTTGGTCTCTAAGACCTTGTAGGTTCACAGCCTTGCCTATAGGACCTGCAGTCCCAAAGGATGTCTTAATGCTGTAGAAAATGACCTCTGTTAAAGAGTGACACTTCCCATAGAACTGGACTTTGCAAAGCAGAAACACAGGCTGATAATATTCATCCTTCATTTCTAAAGAGTTTCTTAAAAATCTCAAAACAAACTAATATATGTTACCATCTCTGAGCTTCAAAACAATCTGAGGACTTAGGTCAGGTGTTTTTACTTAAGTTATGTGTATTGTTATAAATATCAAATTTCAATGATATATAGTGAAAGGTTAAATTTCATGAATTTAAAAATTGATATAATAATAATATACTAAAAACAAGGATATATTCCTCACATTTATACTTATAATGTTTAAAAATGAATAGCAAGTATGAATTCATTATTAAAAATTATTAAAAACTATACAGAGGGAATTTTTTGTCTTATACCTTCACATTTATATATGTGAACAAAAATATTTACTGTGTTTTTTCTGTATTTGTGGTCTACTTTCTTTCATAAACTTCCAAAGCTTAGAAATATATTTAAAACTGAGACTTTTCAGCTGGTTTAGGTATATTTTTGGTATAGGCCTCAGGTTTCTTAAGGTTATACTAAGACTGAAAAACATTTTCATGTATTAAAAGCTATATTACCAAGAAAGCCATATACTGTGTATTCCTATTGTCCAGCATTCCCAGTGAAGACTAGAACTCTACATAGGTGAGATAAGAATCTGAGAAAATTACATAAATTAACTTAAAAAATTAATAGACAGTTTTAAAAGCAGTGTTAAGTTTATAAAAAAAATTGAATAGCTAGTACAAATAATTCCCGTTTATTTCCTCTCACAGAACATTTTCCCCATTACTAACTTCTTGTTGCATTTGTGTGCCACACTATTAGTAACTAATGTCAATATGTTATTATTGTACAATGAGACGATATTGGTGCATTATTATTAACTCAAGTCTATAGTTTACATTTAGGTTCACTGTGGTGTTACAGTTCTGTGGGTTTTGACAAAGGCATAATATCATGTATCCACTATTACTGAGTCCATTTTGCTTTACCTATTCAACTCTTACTCCCTCTTCTGGAATTCCTGGCAAACAATAATCTTTTTACTATTTCTATAGTTTTTCCTTTTCCAGAATGCCATGTAGTTGGAATCATACAGTATATAGCCATTCTAGGCTGGTTTCCTTCACTTAAAAATATTCATTTAATGTTCCTTTATGTCTTTTTGTGGATTGAAAGTTCATTTCTTTTTAGTACTATGATAAATAATTTTCCATTGGGTGGATATATTGCAGTTTGTTCATCCATTAACCTAATGAGAAATGACTTGGTTACTTCTATTTTCTGGTAATTATGAATAAATTGCTGTTATAAACATTTATGTGCAGGGTTTTGTGTGGATGTAAGTTTTCAATTTTTATTGGTAAATATCTAGGATCTTGAATGCTGGACATATAGTAAAGCTGTGTTTAACTTTGTGAAAAACTGCCAAACTGTCTTCCAAAACGTTTAAACCACTTTGTACTCCCACCAGCAATGAATGAAAGTTCCTGTTGTTCCCCATTTGTACCAGCAGTTGGTGGTGTCAATGTCTTGGATTTTGGCTATTCTAATGCCAGGTCAGGTATTATAGTTCCATTTTGTAGATGGGGAAGCCAAAGCCTGAAAAGGCTTTTTGACGTTTACCAAAGGCTCTTAGCTATAGTCACCATTAATACAATAAAAGCAAAGCAAAACAAACAGAAAACCAAATTGTTAAAAGTGGAAGATGATTCTCGGGAGGTATCTTCTGGGATAAGAGTGAGTTTTTTCTGGGAAGCAGATGTGAAGAGGTTGAGTATGAAATGTTCTGGGGAAATCCTATTTCCCAGGAAACTGAGTTAGCCAGAGTATCCTGTTCTTGTTTTTTAATTTTTTTATTTCATTGTTTTTTTTAGTTTTGCTAACAGAAAGAGGACTCTGGTCCAAAGACTCGGGGGGAGCTTAGCCTGTCTCCTCAGACTAAAAGCAGAAGGGAAGGAGTTTTCTTTTCTGATGTTTCTTTGCTTCTTCCTGCTCATGCCCTGTAAATCTCCAGGACCCCCGAGTGTCAGCCCTGGATGAGAAGCAGCAGCTCACTAATCTTCTAATTTCCCCTGCCCCATCAGATGCTGCTTCCTAGGAGGCTTTCTGAATGAGATTTCAGTGGAAGGTTCGAGATGGGCACAGAACCAGCCTACTTCAGAAAGAAGGGATCTAGATTAAAATCCTGCAGTGCCCAAGAGGGTGAGAGCTGAAGAGATGAGGAATGACTACTTTCACCTTGATTTATCTCTGAGGATTTCTTATTTGTTCCTCAAGTCTCCTAGAGTATGCATTACTGTACTTCTGTTGTCTTTCTTTTCAAAATCTGTACCCATCTACTTTTAGCTTTATGAGCTGTAAGGAAATTTTTATTTCACAGCACAGAATTTTACTTTCTTACCTCCTCCTGTTCTCTTCACCCTTTTCTCTCCTCAAAATGTCAGTTTTTGTCAACCAAAGATAAATGTGGGCAGGCCAGATGTAGCTCTGGGCCACAGTGAGATATGTTGGTATTGATTTATCTGATTCTCCTGAGAACCAGGTAGTCCATAGAGTCTGATGTCCTGTGTTTTGTCATGGTGTGCTGGCTTGTTTAGACTGCTTTTTCTATCTGCTGTTTCTTGGGTGTTACCAACTGACAGGGTGCTGTGGTCCAAGGACTTCTTGGACTAGAAAGGGCATGGAGGGAGAATCTACTTACTTTCTCAGGCTCCAGGCCAAGAATAAATTCTCACAATCCAAAAGAGATTATTCTTGCTCTTATTTTAAGATCTTTAGGAATGAGGACTCTGAAAATACTATACTAGGTATGGTCTTAAATATTTCTATAGTTATAAAGGTTTTTGAATGTTTAACCTAAAAACTAAGCTTTTTAAGACTTTCTTCCTATTGACATATGGAGATACAAAGACTAGCTTCTGACTCTGACTTTATAACAGTTGCTTTCCTTCATAAAGAATCTGACTTTCGGATTTGTCTTATTATGTATAAACATTCTTGTGTTTCAAGGTGGACAAACTTTAGTTGTGACCACAGTGATACTAGTAAGCTGTCAGGGAACAAGTGGGGAGCCTTTTTTGTACAGGGAAAGATGGAAAAGACTGTTTATAACTTGATCCTTGAGAGTAAACCATTAACATTTAGAGAATCTGGATGAAGGTGAGAAATCATATGGGAATTCTTTAGGTATAAAATTATTTCAGTATAAAAACATAAAAATGATTTTTGCAATAAATGATTTAAATCTTAAGTTCTTTGTTTTATGAAAAATTGGCAAAGCTGGACATGGTGGTGTGCACCTGTAGTCCCAGCTTAACTTGGAAGGCTGAGGTGGGAGGATCACTTGGCCAGCCTGTGTAACAGTAAGACCCTGTCTCCAATACATAAATAAATAGTTGATGAATATGACAAGGGGGCTTAATGTGCCTTGACTTCCTTTTTTGTTATGCCCTTGCAGTAGACTTGTTGTTTCACCAGCTCCCAAGGATGGAGAGACCCTGAATCTCATTTAAGAGGTCAACCAGACCAAGTGGAGGCAGCTTGCAGTGGGCACTGAGAAGTGTAGCCCTTTAGAGATATCCAAGATGCTACCAGGCCAGAGGGGGCCACCAGAGAAGGAAGGAGGAGACCTGGAGGGCAAGGAGCACATGTGCTACTTGGGGCAATGGTGCAGGGTTATGTGAGAACTGAGAACAGAGCAAGGTCTGGTAAATGACAAAGGGTCTTGTCATTTGCAGAGCCTGCTGCACTAGGAATTATGATCCCTTGGGCAGATTCATCTTATAAGAACCTTACAAAACACTTTCACAAACCTTTATTCATCAGAACATGGAATTAAGGCAAGGTGGGTGGTGTTATTTCCATCTTACAGAAAAGAATAGCAAAGCCCAAGGAGATGATGCTGTTGGCCTAAGGGCACAACTTATAAATGGCAAAACCAGAATTTCAACCTAGGTTCCTTCCTTCTGAAGCAGATGCCATTTCAGTAAAGATAATGTTCAGTAATAGGATAGGATAATGGCCTGGGCAAAGGTCAAGGTGGGTATAGTCCCTGGCATTTCCCTTACATGGACCGTACTGTAGGCCTGTGGGTTTTGTTTTACTCTCGTTGTCCGCAAATTCTCCTTCATTTTACAGCTCTGTAGGCCTTGCTGCTATGGACTGTTCTGATTGGTGGCAGGGCCAACCTGTTGCTGCCACACCTAGATGTTGGGCCTCCTCATGAACCATAGACTGCTAATGCTGACTTCCTACAAGAACCCCCTGAAATTTCTAGCTGCACAGAAGTTCTGACCTACTTTTGTTTGGCTGAGCTGCAGGGGGCACTGTCTGCAACTCTATCATCTTGTGCCCTGAGGGGAAATGAGCTCAACTAAGTAGGCAGGTCCCTGTGAGGCCTTTCTACAGTACCATTATTAATATCAAAAAAAAAAATTATGAACTTAGATCTCTCTGCCCTATTTTCGTCTGTGTTGATGTTCAGGACAGAGGATCACACAGGGTGATGCCTTTACTGCTGAATTAAAAGGCTAGTTTCCCTTTAGCCAAGATGCCTCTGTCTTTCCCTCTGTGTCTTTTCCTCCTCCAACCTTCCAAAGATTGTTACAGCATTGGCTCAAAGAAGGGCAGAAATGTGTTATAAGTTTGTTTTCTTAACTTATGCTTTTTCTTGGAACAGAGCAGCACTTTCCAGAGGTGATGCTGGGGGAAGAATTTCTTAGCCTAAGTCTGGACCAGGTATGCAGCTTGATATCCAGTGATAAGCTGACCGTTTCTTCGGAAGAGAAGGTATGGAATGACTCTTTGGTGAGACAGGAGCCTCACTTGTCAGGTGGTCATGGGAGGGACTTGTGGTTTGGTAAGATCTATTTTTTTTTCTGTATAAAAAATCCTTTTAAACTACAAAAACGACAGAAACCCAAACCAACCCCCACTCTCAACTCAAAAATAAACAAAAATACTGGCCCTTGGCCACTCCCTTCTGGACTCTTTATATTATTTTTTATTTCTTGAGACAGAGTCTCATTTTGTCACCCCCTATAGAGTGCTATGGCTGTCATAGCTCATAGCAACCTCTAATTCTTGGGCTTAGGCAATTCTCTTGCCTCAGCCTCCCTAGTAGCTGGGACCACAGTGCCTGCCACAACACCTAGCTATTTTTAGAGATGGGGTTTCACTGTAGCTTAGGCTAGTCTCAAACTCATGAGCTCAGGCTATCCACCCACCTGGACCTCTCAAAATGCTGGGATTACAGGCATGAGCCACCACGCCCGGCCCCTTCTGGACTCTTTAAAGAAGAAATGACAGTGATGATGATGATAAAGCTTTCTCTATTTACTGAATATTTATAGTTTGTCCAACACTGTGCTAAGTGCTTTATGTTCTTCAATTGATCCACCCTTCACTACAGCCCTGTGAGGAAGGCATTGCTGTTGTTCCCAGATTACAGAAGAGGAAACTGAGATTCCTTTTCTACCAGGAAGAATTTCTTTACTTAAGGATATGTAAACAGGGAAAATAACATAAGCTTTAGTGTTGGCCAGCAGGGTCCAAATTTCATCTTTAGTATTTACGAATTAGTTGTGTGACCTTGGGCAAGTTCTTGGCCTTTCCTCTTGTGTTTCATTTGTAAAGTGAGGATAATCATATTAGGACACATTCCACAGGACAATTAATTGGGATATTGTATGTAAAATGACTGGTATAGTACTTGGTACCCAATAGGAGTGCAGTGTTAGCTCAGTTTATCATTGACCCTGTACCTGGAATTAATTCCTTTCTCCTCTGCGTTCTCCTTTTTGTTGTAAGTAGTTAGTTCTGAGCTGGTTTTCCTCCCACAGGCAACTGAGAGTTCCCTGATGGTATAGACTGTATTCATTTCTGTATCCTCAGATATGTCCTTGAGTTGTCTTAGTCCACTCTTAGCATCCAGCCTTGAGGTACTTTCCTGAGGGAATATGGAACAAAAATCCTTGAAAAAGAATTTATATCAGAGATGAAACTGTATCTACATGTTTAGAGAGTAGGGTAAAATTCACAATCCCCTGCATGGCAGCCTGGAAAAGTTTGACCAAGAAGAAAATCAGATAGATTTTGATAGAAAATGATAGAACCCTGAGACGTCTGATGGATCCCCAGACAGTGACTGGCACAACAGACTGGATTCTTCCACAGGCTCAGGGACACTTCTGGTTAACTCTAATGTGAATAGTACCTCCAGAGAAGAAGATGCCTCTGGCCAGGCTAGTGGCTCATTTGTGCCTTAGACTCAGAAACTGAGAGGTTGCCATTTTTTCTGAAGAGGCATATGTACTACCTTCTCTGGATTTTGCTGCCAAGTTGGCACAATGAGGTGGGGAACCTGCAGTCTTGGGTCACATGTGGCCTTCTGGATCCTTGAATGTGGCCTTTTGACCAAATCCAAATTTTACA